TGGATGACTACGAGATGGATTATAAGTTAATAAACAACTACTGCCATACTGCGTTTGGATCAACCTATTTGCCTGTGTGTCCCTGTGACACATAAACAACAGGTGTGTTCGAAGAACCCAATTAGCCAGATCATGATTAGCACAATGATATCATCTTGGATGTCTCATTTGAGCTAGGACGTTTTAACCCTCTGAGGACCAAAAACGCGTCCCTGTGTTTTGATCGGGTTTTTTTTTCTTTTCACACAGCTGCAACATAGACTTAAAATACTCTGTCATATAAATAAAATCAGTATATGATTATAAACTTTAGAGGTTCTTCTTTTTTTGTGTACACTCTTATTGACATCAAAACCTTGTGTTTTTGTAAAATAAATAAAATAAACAGGGTGTGTTTTCAGCTCACTCTGTCTATGCAAAAATCTTTCTAAAACACGTCTGAAAAATGAACTGTAACTCATTATGAAGCTGAAATTCTCTTCTTTTAAATGAATTTATAAAAAAAATCAACTATTCTCAGTTGATGTAATCTGTATGAAAAGAGAGAGATGCCAGTCTTTTTCCTTTCACCTAATGACGTGCTAATGTGACCCCGCCCACTGAGAGCGTGCGCTATTCAAACGCGAATGTTGAGGCAAGCCATGAAAACGCCCACATCGCTAAAAACATACAGTTTATTACGTATCTAACCTCGTCCCAACCTTTCGTCTTGCTGCGCTGTGAGGAGATCCTGGGGAAAAAAAAGTTACCTCAGTTACCAGTTTCATTTGAAGAGCACGGATTCAGCTGATGTAGTAAGTCATTTATTCTTGAGTGCTTTGTTCTAATCGCGTTATTGAATAGTGTCTGTAAACTGTACAAAGACTGTTTAAATATCAAATATCTGTATGTGAAGGAATAGACTAATTCACAGACTCGTGCGCTGTGCGTTAATTCACTTTAGCTCCTACATTAGTAAGACTATATATTCTATTCTGATCTGTAAAACTAAAAAGACTATTTAAATATGAATCGGGTGTGTGAACGAACGTAAGAACGAACGTTCAATTAGTTAGACAGTTTCTGCTCATATTATTTTCTTTTCAAGATGTTTCCAACTCTAACGTACTTTGAACCAATTCTACAAAATGGCCCATATAACCTATTTGACCAGGATTTGTTTCCTGTGTGGTATTACAAATTTTATTAACGTGTTTAATTTAATGTTTTAAATGGAGAAAGTCTCTAAATCTCTGCAAACAGTAGGAGTTTATACTTCTGACTGTCCTGTGACCACACGAGAAAACCATGCAAATTTCAGATTGCACTTAGAGGCTTTTGCATCTGAACTTCTCATATATATATATATATATTTTTTTTCTTGTCTGACTCACCTGAATGAAAGGCTCATTATTATGTATGTTTTCAAATAGGTGTAGGATGGTGCTGCCGCCAGTCTGGAGGCCCGAGCAATGCTGAGACTCGCAGAGTATTACAGCGGCTGCTCGAGAATTGTTTATTCACTAAGGTGAAGTGTGAGTTTCACACACTTCCATTTCTGGGTTTTGTCCAAAGGTATCCAAATGGATTCGGCTAAGGTAAAAGCGATTGCGTATTGGCCCACCCTAGAGAATCGTTAGGCGGTCTAGAGATTTCTGTTTTTTGCCAATTTTTCACAGGCGATTCATTTGGGGTTTTAGCCAGGTTGCACTGCTGCTGCTGACTATCACCTCCACAAGAATTTGTTTCTGTTGGTCAACATTGGCTCAGGAGGCGTGATTACATGTGCCATGACTGTAATGTAGTCCTCGAAGTCAACCTTTCAGTTGTTATTGCTACTGTTGACAGAAAAACCAACAGGATAATGGGATCATTGAAACCAAAAAGTCCAATAAATAGTCTGTCTGCTTATACTAACAGTGTCACACTACACACACACACACACACACACACACACACAAACAGGTAAGTTCCAATAGCAGTAATTTTTATTAGGGGATTATCTGTACTCACAATGCGAAGCAGACAGTCCATAAAGTTGCCAGGACTGAGACGTTTTTAAGTCTCTGTATGGCCTAGCCCCTGTATGTTACTGATTTAATCAGCCACTGTCAATCCAGTAGATCTCTGCGCACAAATGATCAGTTGATTCTCATGGATCCGCAATCACATTTAAAATGTGTAAAGGTGATCGGGCTTTCTCTTTTGTAGCTCCTAGACTCTGGAATGACCTTTCCCTGTCTGTAAAATCTTGTCCTTCATTGGGTGGTTTTCAGAGTGAGCTTAAAACGTACTCGTTCTCTTTAGCATTTGATAATGCTTTGTAAGTTTTTATGTCATATGCCATGTGTTTGCATTGTTTTTGTCTTTATTTTTACTTTCTATTTTATACCTTTTGTACAGCACTTTGGTTCCACTTTTGGTCTCGAAAGTGCTCTTTAAATAAAGTTGAGTTCAAGCAGCCAGGCGGACAAGATACTTTCAGGTGGCCATGGTGGAGAAGACTCCTTGGGTGACCACAGCGGTGAAGACCCTTGGGGCGGCCAGGGCGGTGAATAGCCTTCGGGCAGCCAGGGCGGTGACCTTCCCACAGGCGGCCAGGGTGGAGACGTGACCTCAGGTGGCCATGGCTCCGGCTCAGGAACAGCAACAGATACCGGCTCTGGAACAGACACTGGGTCAGGAACACCAGACACTGGCTCCGGCTCAGGAACCACGGACCCGACAGGTCTAAAAGACCTCTCCAGGATCAGAGCCGAGCCAGACACTCCAGGATCCAAGCCAGACTGTACAACTCCACAGTCGGTCAGTGCCCCTGCGGCTCCGAGAATGGGCATCTCCTGACGTGAACAGTCTCTTATTGGGAAGACGTGAACAGTCTCTGGCTTGGCAGACGTGACTTGAACAGTCTCTGACTGGAAAGACGTGACGTGAACAGTCTCTGGCTGGGCAGACTGATGTGAACTGTCTCTGGCTGGGTATATTTAATATTATTAGGGGATAATCCATACTCACAAACCAGTCCAGGCAAAGGTTCAAAACACAAAGTATCATGATGCATAGGGAAAAACAGTCAAGGATTCAGATGCGAGTGAACAAGTATTTATTAGTCAAAAGAGAAGACAAGTGGCTCATTTTGACATGCAGCATCCACTGAGATCACTCGGCAACGAATAGTAGATCGTTCTCAGATAAATCAGTGTAGAAGTAGGAGATAATCCTCAGGCAGACTCGGAACACACACACACACACAGGCAATGGTAACGCAGGGACTCAGTGGGCGGAAATGCAGGAAAATCAGCGCAGAGAAGAAGATCCTTGGGAAACCTCGAAGAAGCAGGAACTGGAGCGGGACAGAAAGCACAGGCCTCGGAGAACCTCCACAATCATCTGACAAAGACAAGATGAGTGAGCAAACAATATCCTCCAAACAACCAAACAATAGGACATCCTCATTTATAACAGCTGGCGCTGATCGGCTCATCAGTGAAACGAGCCCGCTGATGAGCCGCAACCATTCACTCAGCACGCACACATAGCGAGAGAGAGAGTCAATGAATCCATGAACCATGACAAAAAGGGTTATATCCAAAAACATAAACACATGGCATATATACACAAGTGCTAAACGAGGTGACAAGAAACAGCTGAATAGAAAGGATCATGGAAAATGTAGTAACAGAAGGTGTTTCTCAATGTCAAGGATACTTCCTTGGCATGACGGGTCCTTCCAAGTCATTTCCTTCAGAGGCTAGGCAAGGGTCCTCTTTAGCGTTCGGAGAACATGTAAATGGAACAGGCTAGCAAGTGCACATCATTGCGTCATTACATCAGTGAAAGGTCCGCTTCGGCGCTGCAAAAATCATTGTGCTGGTGTACTGCACTGTTTAAATACACTTGACAGTCCTTATTTTGTCTTGTCAGTCCTCATAGAAATAAATAAATAAAGGGATAATGTATAACCAGGCGGTTGTTATGAATACAACCCTGCAAACTCTAAAGCAGAGGGGTCTTGATCAGCCGGTTGTATTCGCTGTAACAACCGCCTCGCTATACATTTTCCCACTTATAACATGGCACCTACCAAATAAATCAATAATTTGACACAAAATATTGATTTAAAAAGGAGTTTATTCATTCAAAAACGATTATATTACCGGAGTTAACAGAACTACCTCCATAGCAACATGATCTAGCTGTTAAAACACATGCAATTGTAAAATATGTGACCAACAAAAAAGGCTATAACGTTATATGAAGTAAAAATCAAAAGTAATCACCAGTAAAAGGGAACAGCTTTAAATCCCCTCAGCAAATTTGAGCCGATATGTTAAATAGTTTAACAAACATTAAATAAATGGCTAAACTGAAATTATACTTGCTTACATTTGAAAGCATATTGCCGTTATCACTCCGACTCCGCTAAGGGTCGACATTTTTTAGTTTTTGAACAAGATAGCAAAGCTGCGCATAGGATTGTGGGTGATTTAAGAGCGCGAAGGCTACAAATATGCATCCTTTCCTGTGTATGGGATATTTTCCGAACGAAGGACTCAGTCCTTGGTTGAAATTCTGAGGATCCTCGACATTGGAACAGTCCTTCGACGGACATCGATGACGTAGCATCCTCGAAATTCCGGCTTCCGAAGATCCTTCCTTGACATTGAGAAACGCCTAGAGTGTAGGACACCGTGCAGGAACAGGAATTCTAGTGGTTACCAGGAAACATAAACCAGACACCGTGACAAACAGCCATAAAAGATTGCAAAAGATTAACTCTTTTATCAACTAAGGAGTGTCACCTGCATTCACTATGGTATTTTAAATCATGCTGTGCTGATCATTGTTATATCATATTTTGTTCTATATATATATATATGCCTCTGAATCAGCATATATTACTTGCTATACAGAAAAACATAAACAAATGTATGAATACTTTAGTTAATTATTATCTTTTGTGGTTTTATTATCTTATTAACGGGCCAGCGTTACTAACCATGTTAGCTCCACCTGCTCCCCCTTTCATTCCGGGAAACAGTATCAGGATTTACTCTTATGACATCTTACTTACATCGACCTATCTCAGGAGAGTGAACTGAACTACAAAGCAAAGTGTGGTAAACCAACTGAACAGAAGATTTCTTTCTGGTAAAATAACAAATTATATATTTACACTGACTATCTGACTACTTTTGCATTGTCCGCATTAGTTTTTATTAATGAATGGATTTCCTTTATTTAATAGTAATCTATAATGGTTGGTAGGGCACTTTTGTAAGTGTCTTTAGAAAAGAGCATCTGCTAAATCTGCCTTACATGTAACTGAATATAGATCAATTTAAACAAGAGCTGTTTGCATACTCTCTGGTTTCAAGGTCTATTTCTATTTGACGACAGTAATTTAACCAATGATATTAACTACCATTGACAACTCCATTCAATAAGCGTTTAAACAAAATGAAGACCACATTTATAATAAATAAAATAATAATAATAATTAAACTGGAAAGTTCGTTTACATAATATTCTGATAATCAATATTTTGATTGACTTCTGACCTATAACGCTGCCTGAATCATAATCATGCTCTTCTCGTTCGTTGGCCAGAGGAGAACCGGCCCCCGACTGAGTCTCGGTTCTCCCAAGGTTTTTTCTCCATTCTGTCACCTGATGGAGTTTTCCTGTTATCTCTGTAAAGCTGATTTGAAAAATTCTGTATTGAAAAATGCGCTATTTAAATAAATGTGACATAGAAAATCAATTTTTAAAAATCATATCCACACTCGATTTACTATGATTTTATACGGGTCCATTTCAGATCCAGAAAGAAGAATGTCTCACACTGTCCTACCCGTGAACTCTTCGACGATTGTCATCCAGTTTCAACCACCAATACCAGCAGCTGGAACTGGGACAAATGCTCCTGTGCCTGTTTATGGACAACAGCTAGCAGGAGTTTCACCTCTTCGTGGACTTCAGACATTTCTGAAAGGCCAACCAAAAGCACTTGGGGTGAAAAATTGTTCATAAACCCAAATAATTGTATAATTTTTATGTGTTTTAGGTAAGGAAAGTACATGAATAAATTCTAAAGTGGTCGAGTAGTAGACGCATGAACAAAGCATAGACATTTTTTATTGATTAATGTGACTCAATGCCTTGGTGACAATGCAATATCAGATCAGGTTTATAATTTACAGAGTAAAGTTGTAAAAATATATAGTGTCTCAGTCACAGTCACCAGTTAGAGTGTTTGTGAATGCCACCAGAGGGTACTCTACCTCAGACTATTGATACTCCTTCACGGACTTCATTACCCATAACTCACTGCCAGGTCTAATCATCCATGATTGCATTCAGCGGTGTCACTCCTGCTTCAGACGTCATTTGGAACGTCATGGAATTGTAGGTAATGGTTTAAAGCACCGTACCGATAGTGTAGCCTAATTTCTGAGATTCATTTATTTTTTTCTTGTGAAACGACCGTCGTGAGGGTGTCGTTTATACGTTATTATTTTGTTGGAAATGCACATTAATGTTTGATTCGATGTCGGGCTTTAACAACAGCACAAAATGTTTACATTGCCTTACAATTCTTTGCGAGTGGCTTCATTTACACTATTGGAGATGCAGAGAACTTGATAAGCTTTCTGTCGTGCCATTCGCAAAGTTTACTTGGCGCTCTTAGTTTTTTTGTTGTTTTTTTTCAGCCTTTTTCCTTGTTGCTTTTACAAACAGACAATCATTTATATAACAGTACCTTTTTAAAAGAGACTAGTAATGAACATGGTGAAAGTGAAGTACAAATATATTCTACTTAATGGTAATTTTGTACTTCACTTTCACCATGTTCATTATAGTGTGGTGACTCTGACATTACAATGAAGAAAGTATTTATGAAATTATGAAAATAAAATAATAAGTTATTAAAACATCTAACATGGCCACCACAAACACATTTAAACTATCTTCTACTTTTGCCAGCACTCTCTCCTGGCTTTTGCACACTTTGATGTCTTCCATGGCGTTTTAATTAAAGACTAAAATTTGGCATAACCTTCCATTAAAAGCTCTTGAACTGCTTGGGAGAAAAACTGGGCGTGTTCTTTGGCCATGCTGAACAGCCAGCGTTGGTGATCACTGGTTCTGCTATTGATACATGTCCCCTTTTAAACCAACGCGAGAACGCGCAGTTATCTCAGATAACTCAAGCGATACTAATCATAAACAACAGGTGTGTTCGAAGAACCCAATTAGCCGGATCATGATGAACATGATCATATTATCTTGGATGTCTCATTTAATCTCGGATGTTTTAAGCAATGTACGAACAACGGGCCGCAGAATTTATGCAATGAGAGCACCTAGATATTTTTGGAGTGCAATCATAAATCCTTAACTACAGCTGTTATAAATGTATACTATTCATGTTATGTTGTTACCAAAATATTACACTGTTGTACTTGATTTATAAAAGCCTCTCTCGTCCTTCACAGACTGTCCAGATAATGATTGGTCTGTGGACTTTCCTGTTGGGAATCTTGTCTGCAGTTCATGCAGATTCCATCTTTGTCTATAGTGGTATACCTTTCTGGGGATCTCTCATCGTAAGATGCAATTAAAAGTTGTCTCTTTTATAACACAAGTTACATTTTCCAACATAATTGTCTCTCTCTCTGCTCTCAGTACATCACCGCAGGCTCACTCTGCATTTCTGCAGAAAATAAAGTGAATTCAACCTCCAGTTTGTGTTTGGTATGTACACAACACTTGTTATTTTTAGGGGTTAGTAGAGGTACACTATTGTGTTTGACCATAATTTTCAGGGAACCAAATGTCAACAATGGCAATGCAAATTTTTCACAAATTGAACTTTAACACCCAAAAGAATTAAAGTTAATAGGTATAGACTACAACACATTTTGAGAATTCACACCAAATTGTGTATTGTTTGCTGTACAATACATAGTATCGCTTAATCATCCACATGAGCCATTAGTGGTTGGACCCTGAAGTCAAGTAGTGTACTTTTCTATGCTTATCCATCTATGTTAAAGGGTTAGTTCACCCAAAAATGAAAATTCTGTCAGTATTTACTCACCCTCATGTTGTTCCAAACCTCTATGTGTTTATTTGTTCTGCTGAACACAAAGGAAGATATCTGGAAGTATGTTTTAATCAAACAGATCTCAGTCCCCATTGAGGTAGTCAATGGGGATTGAGATCTGTTTGATTAAAACATTCTTCCAAATATCTTCCTTTGTGTTCAGCAGAACATATAAACACATAGAGGTTTGGAACAACATGAGGGTCAGTAAATACTGACAGAATTTTCAATTTTGGGTGAACTAACCCTTTAACAAGCAAAAGTCCTAGCTAATTTATTAATCCATTTTATGTTTTTCTTTCTACCTATAGGTGAAAGGTTCACTTGGAATGAACATTTTCAGTGCTATAACTGCAGGCACTTCCTTAATCATAAATTCATTGGATTTGGTTCTAGCGCCATTGGACAAGTACAATTACTGCAATGATTATGATTGTTATGAGTATGAGAGAAAGTATACGGTATGTCACCAACATTTCTATTCACATTTATGTCATAATTACAATGAGATTACTGTGTGGTAGGGGTTTCATCAACTAGTCGACTAGTCGACTAGTCGACTGTCACAACCACTAGTTGGCGCTGTTGGCCTTAGTCGACTAGTCGGAAACAAAATGATGACATATATATATAGATTTATTTTTTTTGTTAACTATCCCTTTAAATACAAGCGGCAGTACTATATACTATAAGCACTATAAGGCGCACCTTCAATGACCTATTTTAGAACATTTTTCACTGGGTTTGCATTATGCATCCACTAGATGTGCTAAAGGGAATGCAGCGAGTGCGCGGCGTCGGAGGTGAGGCGTTTATTTAGTAAGCGTGAGCGCGCTGGGGCGGGCACGTAACTTACATTCGCAGCCTGCTGACAGCAGTGTGTGTTCGTGTGTGTGTTAGAGAGAGCGCTCGTGAGCGGGAGATATTTTATACGAGGTTGAACTGGCCGTGTGACAAAGAAAGCGGATGGATTATAAAGCTTGAGAAAAGGCCAGATTGAGAAAATTAAAGGCTTTTAAGTGCGCTTTATAGTTCGGAAAATACGCGTACTACTCTCGCTTTTAGACCAGCACGCGACGTGTTTAATATAGCCGCATATTAGCCTACACCAGATTTTCTCTCAAATGTTTGCTTTCACTTTCTATATGGGGAGGCTGCACTTTAGACATAGCCAATTCTGTTTATGTAAACATTGTGTGTATTTAACAGTATTGGCATAATAAGACTTGAAAGATAACTTAGTCCAGTATTCAGGCGCTGTTTGACAGGCTTCTGCCTGTGAGCGTCGGGGATATGCCGCGTGCTCAGGAAAGCGCACGTTAGAACAGCGCGTGAATTAAATGTTTAACCGGCAAGGCTTATGCAAACAATGAACTTTTGTGAATTGCAGTGTCCCGTACCTATTCCTTAACGTGTGATGTTTAGGCTACGTCGCGTTGTACAGTTGAGAGGCGCCAGAACTGATAGAATGCACTGTAACACGATACTACTACCATATTTCTTCAAAAGCAGATCGTGGAGACATTTACTATTCGTGTTGTCGCACACCCCTAGAATTTAACGACTAGTCGACTAGTCGTCGACTGTTATGCAAAACTAGTCGACTAGCAAAAATCAGTAGTTGTGAAACCCCTACTGTGTGGTCAGTACAGTTGTCTTTTTTTCCCAACATTTCAGAAGTAGTTTATAGCTCTCTTGCTATTATTGATAATTTGCAATTAAAGAAAGCATTAAACTTAGTCCAGTTTGACCTATAAATAGGATGATGATTATGAAATCCTGAACAGCCTGTTTCCGGATGTGAGTGCTAATTATTAATTATTTTGTCATTATTATTTGTGCTAATGTTGAATTCTCTCTCAGGCTCTCTTCTGGGGAATCAGCAGTGTATCATTGATATTCGCCTTCCTTCAGTTTATCATCTCCATCTGTCTGTCAGCATTTGCCTGTAAAGCCTCGTGCTGTTCTCCACAGGTGAGTGATGCGTCAAGTTCATAAAGTTTTTTTGTCAGCAATGGAAATGGTTTCTTTTTTCCCCCCAATAATATATTTATTGAACATTTTAAGTGTAAAGCAAAAAAGCAAATTAAAAAAAATTAATAAATTAAAAAAAGCAATAAAATACAAAATATATATTTGTGCAAAATGTCTGTGGAAAAAGGCTCAAGTGGGATAACACTTGAGACTGTACGCAGCCTTTGATTTAACCTGTTAGCCAGCTACCCCACTTTTTGAAAAATCTGCATACCCAAACGAAAACTGATCCAGTTCATGAACCCTTTGCACTAAAAGTACAAGTATGATCTCATTTGAAAGCTGACACCTGTCCATTTATTGTAAATTTAGAATTAAAAAATAGTATTAATAAAATAAAAAATTAACAAATGAGGAACACAAGTCTAACATGGGCTACATAATGAACGTCTACGAGGTGTGCGGCGTGCGCGCACATTCAGCCAAAACCCAACCAAAGCCCCCACTCTCCGTCAAGACAGCTGGCGTCGCCTTTTATAGCCAGTTTCCGGCAGAGCATCATGGAGATGAACGAATCCCAGAGGACTAACAGGATCTGAAGCCAATCAGAATCGGATATCAAGAAAAAGATCATAAATACACAAACATAATCGTAACAGTGACTGTCCATCGACGAGTTGCAACGGTCGGCTCCTGCCTGATTGTTGTGGCATTTGACAGTGTTCTGAGGGTCTCCGCTGAAGCCAATATGGTGTTCAGCAATCCCGCTGTCTCAACTAATGTTCTTAGCTGTTGTTGGGAAGACATTGGTGTAGTGCAATGGCGGGTGAACTAACGGTCAACTGTGGTCGATTGTATTATGAAAGGCGCGGTTTTCTACTATGCTTTCTTTCAACAGCTTCTAGTTATTTGCTTTGAGGTGCACTACTGCCACCAACTGGACTGGAGTGTACTTTAACCACCTTCCGTTTCAACTGAAATTCTTTCATACAACATACTGAAATGCTTTTTAGTTTGCTTTTTTGTGTGAGAGTGTAATCATTTTAGTTGTATGTATGAGAGCTTTTAGGTGGTAGCACAGGCAACTGACTGCCTGCTGAGCATTTCTGCTTGCCGCACCTCCGACGGTGCCATTTCGGGTAGCTGCAGGGTCATCAGCCGGGAGCCACCCTTCATTGATGTTTCGCTCCATTAATCCCGGAACATCTCACGGTGGTGGAGCGGCAGCAGGGACGTCTCCCTGCTGCCCCCTGCAGCTAACCCTAGGACCCTTGTTTTCCCCACGCCTGATCCTTCCTTCTTAACCAAAGCCAAAAGCTTCCCTGCTCGGCCTCCTCGGCAAGGACTTTCATAGCATTTCTGAGTTTGGGGCCGGTGACTCCCATGCTCTTCAGGAAACGCTGGGTGGATGTTCCCACGAACCCCCTACAGCCGACTTCCACCGGGTAGCTGACAGCTGACCACCCAGCCTCTCTGCATTCGGCTGTAAGGTCGAGGTAGCGATCTTTCTTCCTCTCATGGGCTGCCTCCATTCCTCCCTCCCACGGGACAGTAAGCTCTGCCAAAATTACTGCCCGGGTTGTGGCGGACCAGAGAATGATGTCTGGTCGGAGGTTGGTTGTGGTGATCTCTGTTGGGAACCTGAGCTGCCGATCGAGGTCCGCTCTCAGGTTCCAATCGCAACTGCCTGCCAGGGCTGATCTCTGTGGCTGCGTGATTTTGGTGGCCCCTCCTCCCTCTCTGACAAAGTGGATCGGCCGTCTTAATTTTAGTGGTCGGCGTTCCCTGGCTGATTCCGCCCTGCGCACCTCCAGGATCTCTGCCAGCTTCCGCAGGACACGGTCGTGGCGCCACCTATACCGACCCTGGGTTAGTGCTGTTTTGCAGCTTGATAGAATGTGCTGCAGATTAGGATTTGGGGCATTACAAAGCTGGCAGCACTCCTCTGAGCCATACCACAGACAGAGGTTGCTGGGGCTTGGGAGGGTGTCATATGTGGACCTTATGAGGAAGCTCAGCCTGGCTTGGGGGATTCTCCACATGTCAGCCCACCCTACGGTCCTGCTTATTACTCCCTCCCAGGTCGTCCAGCGTCCTTGCTGACTTTGGCTAAGGGCTTTGATCTGGTTATTCTCCTCCTCTGTCCTGACCACCTCAGAAATCACTAGCTCTTTCCTCTCCTTCTTTGTGGCTTTGGACCACCTCTTCACTTGTGTGTGTGTGTGTGTGTGTGTGTGAGCATTTCAGTATAGTATGTGAATGAATTTAGTATGTGTGAATGGTAATTCTAAATTAAAATACCTAAAACTATACATATGTATTTTTCCAAAGGTGCCGTTAGTTCCACAAGTTTTGACTCAACATCCCTGTTGTTTTGGGCACAATCATTTCCAAGATCTTAACAACTCAGAGGTAAGAGGAGCTTGTAACCCCAGTTCAATTAGACTTTGAGTAAAATGGTACCAAAACAAATGTATTACTTGAATTTAGTGTCACTATGTATGGATCCATATATATATTATATTTCTTTTAGATATCTGTGGTCAGCAACCCTGCCATGCATCACCTTCCTGCAGAAATTCCTCCACAATACAGTGAATTTAAATAAATATGATATTTTGATTACCAAAATCCAGGACACTCTGCCCAGCAAACAGATACTCAAATGATACTCGAAGTTTACTCAAAGATGCCTTATTAATTTAATTTTTGATTACAAAACATTTAAAGTAGGCTATGCCTTCCTCTGTATGCATACAATATTGTTCTATTTGAAGACACTAATTCAGATGAAGCTTCTCAGAAGTTACTCAACATGTTTTATTATCACAGGTTTCAAAAATAATGAATGAAATAAAGTCTCTTCTGTATTAGAAAAACAAATATATAAATAACTAAAATAAATACCTCCAGATTTAACAAAAATAGCTCTCACAAACATATCAAAAGACCTAACAAAATATATTTATATCTTTAGTTTTCTTCCTCTTTATCCTGTTTTTTCTTCCTCATCGTCCTTGTTTGCCCATCTATATTTTGTTGTAGAGATGATGTTTTCCAGCAGTTTTTGACAATTTCATCACTTCATAAAAAACAGCCAGGACAGGACGTGAAAACAGGACTGTTGGTCACCCTAAAATATGAAAATTAAAACAGAGTTGAGGTGGTACAAAAGGGTTTTCCCAGTGATTTCCTGTCCATTAACTCTTTATAATTATTCTCTTCATTAAAAAAGAGAACATGACAGCAAAGGAAAATCACTTGATCAGATCATGTTTAACTGTGTGAAAAATTATTATAATTAATAGAGATCAACTTTTTTAAAATGGACACTATTTTACTGTTTTTAAGTCAGAAAATTTGCCAAATCATCAGTGAAACTGGATTGACTGTTTTGAACAATGTATTGCTTAATACAGTATAATTTGTAAGAATAAAGTATACAGAAGAAAAAATTTCTTATTCATGTCTCTTTCTTTATACCAGGCAATTCACTTAAGAACGAATGTGTATTTAGAATAACAGCCTGGCAGGAGAAAATCAATATCTTGGAGGAAATATAGACATATTTATAATTAAAACTTAATTAAAAGAAGGGTGATAGAATTGTTTAAACCGATATAAAAATAGATATTAGGGATTTCAAGCGGCGGTCTTGAAGTATCAGGGCTGATCAATGTATTTAACAGATCTGTATCAGCTCTATAAAGCCTGATCCTTTATTTTACGTAAGCCATTACACAGTTAATCGTAAACGAAGAGCACAATTTGTGGCAGGAATACAAAGAGCATTATCTGTAATGTAGAATTATTTTTTAATTGGAATTCCATACCATGTACACACACACTGATTTTACCGTGATTGACTTATTTTACAGTTTATCTCCATTCCTGTACATGAAAGCAGGCAGCCATTGTTTGTGTTTCTCCAATTTACTTGCACCATCTGAGTCACTATGAAATCAAAATAGACAATTCTTATTTTCTATAGAATATTGCAGTATTTATACATGATTTATCAATGGACATCACATTTAAAATTCATTTGAAAAATAACTTCCCCTGCACAACCTGTCGCTCACATGACATCACAACTTCTGTTTCATGTCAACTTTAAGGGTCTGTTTCACTCATTGACCACAAGTTTGCCACTAGCTTTGAAAAGAAGACGAGTGCTGATTACATCGCAGAAGAACAAGGAACAAAATCATTTAATGTTAAAGAAGAAATGTCTGTTGGCATATATAGCGATGTGATCGGGATCGAGTCAGAGGGAATGCAGACGGAGAGAGTGGAAATGACAGTAGAAATCTATGAGAGTGTAAGAGATCATGACTTCAGGACAGAGATAAACACACACCAACCACTTCAGAGTTCAGGTAATCACATTCATTACTTTGATAGAAACATCACAGCCTGCACATGTTCAGTCATCTAATGTCATAACTGTGGAAGTGATTGTGTGAAGATCAGAAGTATAGACCATTTCACAAGATGTAAACAAGACTGGTCCAGAAGCACTTCCTGTTTCAGTTTGTAACTGTTTTCTTTATTTCACATGTAAAGAAAACATCTTAAAGATGTTTGTTTAACTTTTTGATTCAGTTTTAAATGTTCTGTTGGTTGTATTTTATCCCAGCTTTTATGTAGTGTTAAAAAACTGAAACAGGAAGTGCTTCTGGACCAGTGTTGTTTACGTCTTGTGAAATGGTCGATATACAGTGTTTTTCGTTCTACTTTGTTTTTGGAGAGAAAATAAAAACGGACCAAAATGGTTCCTCAGCTTGTGTGTTATAGTTAGGATGGTCATAAATCTTGCAGAAACACCCAGCATTAGTTTGGTGTTATCATGAGGGTTTCATTGAGGACCTGAGGCCTTCATAATAATGTGCATGAGAATTCTGCTCTACCTTTGTGGAGAAGCTTTGATCACAGGAAGTGGGCACTCAAGCTTCTGTGCGACCCGAGAGCAGCAGCGTGAATGCTATCGTTGCTTTTATATGTGTGTTCACGTTCGTTTGTTGTTATGTCGGCGTGCACTTTTTAAACCTTTTTAACGTTTTTTATCTGTTAATCCGGAGCCATGAATTGTGTCTATTTGTCACTCTTGATTGCGATGCTTAATCGCTTTACCTGGGGAAGTGATGGCAACGGCAGGGCTGGTCACAGGATTACCTACTCCCGAGAGCTACTGCTTGAACTTCGTCCACTTGCATCTGCTGCTAATGATAACAGTCCATATCTGGTTCGCAGCAAGGAAAGTGCTGCAATAGGGGATATTCACAAAGTCCCCAAAAGTCGACGGAGGAAGGAGAGGCGGTGTACAACGCCGATTAAGGAGATGTGGGTTGTCTGATAAACGCCGGCTCCCTCCGCTTCCCACCATTCTTCTCTCTAATGTACAGTCCATTCGGAATAAAACTGATGAACTGGAAGCTTACGCTAGGTGTAAGTGTGACTTCAGAGACACATGCCTGCTAGCTTTCACTGAGACATGGCTGGGAGACGCGGACAAGAACGAGGATCTACGCATTAGCGGCTTTGGGTGCCCTGTGCGCATGGACAGGTCACCTGTCATAACTAACAAATCCACCGGGGGAGGAGTCTGCTTCTACATCAATGAGAGGTACTGTAACACCGTCACAATTCGGGAGGAAATCTGTACCCCCGATCTCGAGCTGCTATCTATCTCTCTTCGCCCTTTCTATCTTCCAAGGGAGTTTCCTCAGCTCTTCTTCACCCTGGTGTACATACATCCGCGTGCAAACGCTTCCTCAGCCGCTCACGTGATCACGGAAGTGACCAATAGACTCGATGCTCTCTCACCTGATGCTCCAAAATTTGTTATGGGAGATTTTAACCACTGCCAGATACATAAGACACTGAAAACATATGAGCAGTATATTACTTGTGCAACAACCATGAACAATTCCACCATTGACTTATGCCTCGGCTCAGTGCCTGGTGCTTTGAAATCCGTGCCCATGCCTGCTTTTGGTGCATCTTACCACAATAGTGTCCTCCTGTTACCTACCTATAAAGCCATCTGTAGGCGACAGGAAAGGATTGTTAAGACGGTGAAATGCTGGACTGAAAATGGCATTGCCAGCTTACAAGCTTGTTTGGAATGCACAGACTGGGACATGTTTTATAGTTCCTGCCCTGATTTAAATGAACTTACACAAACTGTGTCATCTTATATATCGTTTTGTGTGAACAGCAATATTCCCTGTAAAAACATTACGCTATTCCCTAACAACAAAGCATGGGTCACTAAAGAGTTAAAAAGTGTTCTGAATAAAAAGAAACGCATTTTTTATACAGGGAGTAGTCAGGAAAAGAAATAAATAAATAGAGAAGTGAGGAATGGGATAAGGAAAGCTAAAATTAAGTATAAGGTGGAACACAAGTATAGCAGTGGGGATCTTCGTGCAGCTTGGAGGGGAATCAAAGCAATGTCCTCAGTTACTCAGGGAAGCGGAGACAGTAGGAAACCTGTAACAATTAGTGGAATAAATGATGCTGATCTCCCAAATGCTTTTAATATTTTTTATTCCCGTTTTGAAAAACATGACTTCTCTGAAAATATTTATTGCTTGAGACAGTCTCTATTTTCTCAAAATGAGGCTACCATCAGTCAGGAGTGTGTCAGGGACCATCTGAATAGGGTCAATATCAGGAAGGCCCCTGGACCTGATCTTGTCTGTGGGCGGACACTACGCTATTGTGCCGATCAGCTGAGTAGCGTCCTCCAGCACATCTTTCAGATGTCACTGGACAGTAGTGTGGTCCCCTCTCTCTGGAAATCATCCAAAGTGATCCCAGTTCCAAAGATAAGCAAACCTATGCAGTTAAATGATTTCAGGCCTGTTGCTCTAACATCACTAATTATGAAGGTATTTGAGAAAATCATTAAAAACCGGGTACTATCAGCTGTAGAGGAAAAACTTGACCCCCTGCAATTTGCATATCGAGCGGGGAGGGGACTAGAGGACGCAAAGCTTTTTATTTTGAATAATGTATACAAGCATTTAGAGAAACCAAAATCCCATGCCAGGCTTCTGTTTGCAGATTTTTCCTCAGCTTTTAATACAATGCAACCGCATATATTCTAATAGACAAGCTCCTGTGTGATTTTAATTTGCCTCATCAACTTGTTTTATGGATTTTAGACTTCCTAACTGTTAGAGAGCAGAGGGTCTTTGTAAATGGGCATTTCTCAGAATCCTTATTGCGATAACTATTTTCTTAATTTGAATGTATCAAAAACCAAAGAATTAATTATTGACTTTAGGCGGAAGAGAGATTCAGAGAGCATTATTTATAACGATAAGGTGGAAATTGTTTCATCATATAAATACTTGGGCACTGTTTTTGATGACCATCTTAAGTTTGATATAAACAGTGCTGCCATTGTGAAGCGAGGGCAACAGAGAATTTATCTTCTCCGCAAACTAAAACCCTTTTCTGTCTCGCCAGTCATCCTGTGTAGATTTTAGTGATCGACCGATATATCGGCCGGCCAATATATCGGGCCGATATTTGAAGTTTTTACGTGTATCGGAATCGGCCGATATACCTCTGCGCGTTCGCCAATAATTTTTTTCCCCGGCGTTATTTATAGACAGGCGGCCACGGGCAGCTCTGTGCTGCTAGAGACGCTGCAGTTCACGTGCCCCGCC